TTCATCTTCTTCGTTGTCTCTCAAAGTTATATCTCCTTGCCAGTTCCTTATTTCATTGTCACACCTCCTTATTCGCCTTTTCATTTCTTCTTCTTCTTCTTCTTCTTCTTCTTCTTCTTCTTCTTCTTCTTCTTCTTCTTCTTCTCATCCTCCTCCTCCTCCTTCTTCTTCTTCTTTTTGTTTTTCATCTTCTTTTTCTCCTTTTTCTTCTTTTTCTTTTTCTTCTCCGTCTTTCTTCTTCTCCTTTTTCTTTTACAAATTTATATCTGGTAATAATAAGAAATAATATCTGAAAAAAATTCCTTTTAAACAATGCCATTTGCTACTTATATAAAAATGAAATTATATTGAACAGCAGAATTATTTTCGAGAATAGACTGTTGTCCCTAGCAAAACCTTTCCAACTATTTTATTTACTGATTCTTTCTAGGGTGCTTTATATTATTTGTTGTTTTACCAAAAGAAAGATCTCGAAAGAAAGCGAAAATGTACAAAGAATATTTAAAGGAAGGCTGTTTCTGATTTAGGCATTATAATGTCGACTATTTTAATAGCAAGTAATTTGTCGTTGAATGCAATACATTAAAAGTCGATTATTTTAATAAGGCACTGAAACGTAAAACATTAACTGTTAAATGTCGATTATTTTAAATTGAACTATCAAAGCGTGCAAAGATTAATAATTAAATGGCCATGTAATAATTGAGATGAGTCTGGCATAAGGCAGTTGAGAGCTCAATCAAAACTGTACTCGTATCTATCAGAAGGTGAGAGGTTATGGCGCTCAACAAATTCCTACCCTTTCACAAAAGCTTCTTAAGTAGGGGGGGCTTACGACGATGTCACGGTGAAACAGTGTCGAGTCTGGTCTATACGTAGATGGCTGACTGCTTTGGGAATACCAGGTTACTATAAGATGCTGTCTGCTGTTAGCGTGGATGTGCGAGTGGTGCAATGGATAACGGCACGCAATTTGAAATCGGAGAGCTGAGTTCCATTTTCAGTTGAGCTTAGTCACTCACGCGCGAATATCCTTGGGAAAGGAATGAATCCACTTTTTCTCCTTTGATATGGGTTAAATAGTAAAACTTGTATCTCAAAATCCATGATTAACTTTAAAAAAATCTTACAATCTAAAATCATTTGTGGCTTTAAATAACCTGCAAAAGATTAATAAGCCGTAGAAAACAAATAAAGAAACAAATCGTTAAGAAGGCCACTCTGCATCGCTTGCTTTCAAATATGTTCGCTGGCTGCTAAATTCTTCAAGTCTTCTTTCGACATTATGCGTGCAAGAAATTCAAATGTATCTTTCGGATTCAAAATACACGTTTTCGTTTTGTTTGCATTGCTCTTAAAAATCCCGTTGGCTCAAATTCTTTGCCTATGGTATTCTCAGCATCCTTCTGTAGAACCAACTATCTGTTGCCTAAAGTCTTTTCTTCAACTGTGGCGAAATTGTTCATTATTCATTGCCAAATAGGAAGATTGGTATTCCAATTTCAGCACTATTTTCTTTGTTTCTGTTGTCTCAAGACTCTTCTTCATCTGTGAGGGAAATTATCCAGCATTCATTGGCACATAGGAGGATTAGTACTTCAATTTCAGCAGTATTTTCTTTGCTTCTGTTGCCTCAAGTCACCTCGTAATCTGTGGAGAAATTGTCCAGTATTCATTGTCATATACGAGGACTGATATTAAGATTTCAGCATTCTTTTCGATGTTTCTTTTGCTTCAAGTCTCCACTTCATCGATGGGGAAATTGTCCAGCATTCATTGCCGTATAGGAATGACATTCCAATCCCAGAATTCTTTTTGTTGCTTCTGTTGCCTTAAGTCTCCTATTCATCTGTGGAGAAATTGTCCAGCATTCATTTCCATATAGGAGGTTTGGTATTCCAATTTCAACACTATTTATTTTTGGGGGAATTTGTCCAGTATTCATTATGTTGTGGAGATCAAACACACTTACGCCAAGAATCGTCTGCAGAAAGAGAGAAAAAGTAGAAAGTTAGAGATCTAGTGTTTCTGCTTACTACCGATTTCAGCAAGACTACTTCGCTTCCAAGAGATATTATACTTCTTGATTATGTTATCTTTGTCTAGCATTCATTGCTATATAGGATTGATATTTCAATTTCAGCAATGTTTTCTTTGTTTCTATTGCCTGAAGTCTCCTCTTCATAAGTGGGGGAAATTGTCCAATATTCATTGCCATATAGAAGAACTGATATTCAAATTTCTGCATTTTTTGCTTTCCTAACGAAATTTTAATGTTTTAACTTAACATTTATTTTTTGTTCCCACTTTCCTTAAAACTTGCTGTTTGATCAAATTCTTCGTCAACGGTATTTTCAGCATCTTTCTCTAGATCTATCTATCTATCTATCTATCTATCTATCTATCTATCTATCTATCTATCTCATTCGGCATATTCATTATCTATCTATCTATCTATCTATCTATCTATCTATCTATCTATCTATCTATCTATCTCTTTTGGGATGTTCATTATCTATCTATCTATCTATCTATCTATCTATCTATTCATCTATCTATCTATCGCTTTTGGGATGTTCATTATCTATCTATCTATCTATCTCATTCGGCATATTCATTATCTATCTATCTATCTATCTATCTATCTATCTATCTATCTATATATATATCTATCTCTTTTGGGATGTTCATTATCTATCTATCTATCTATCTATCTATCTATCTATCTATCTATCTATCTATCTCTTTTGGGATGTTCATTATCTATCTATCTATCTATCTATCTCATTCGGCATATTCATTATCTATCTATCTATCTATCTATCTCTTTTGGGATGTTCATTATCTATCTATCTATCTATCTATCTATCTCATTCGGCATATTCATTATCTATCCATCCATCCATCTATCTATCCATCTATCTATCTATCCATCTATATATCTCATTCGGCATATTCATTATTCATCCATCCATCTATCTATCTATCTATCTATCTATCTATTCATTATCTATCTATCTCATTCATCATATTCATCCATCTATCTATCTATCTATCTATCTATCTATCTATCTCATTCGGCATATTCATTATCTATCTATCTATCTATCTATCTATCTCTTTTGGGATATTCATTATTATCTATCTATCTATCTATCTATCTCATTCATCTATTCATTATCTCTATTCGGCATATATCTATTATCTATCTATCTATCTATCTATCTATCTCATTCGGCATATTCATTATCTATCTATCTATCTATCTATCTATCTATCTATCTATCTATGTCTCTTTATTTCTGTTCATCTCTCTCTCTCTCTTCCTCTCTCTCTCTTTCTCTGTCTATCTGTGGCAGTAATGGCGTCTGGTTTCAGTATTTGGGTCATATATAATCGTATATTCGACCGGATGTAATATAATTGAATCGACTTTCTCGGGGGTTGATCTGTAATGGCTTTGAGCAATGTCTGTTCAATTCGATTTATGATCAGACGTAATTTCGATTATAATAAAAGTTGCTTTATAGACTTACTCGAAGAGAAATTAATACCTTAGATGGACAAGAGATAAAGAGTTTTATAAACACGCAAACACCAAAACGTTTACTCACGCATGCGTATAAGGTCTCATGGCGCATGGTGAAAGGGGCGGTTTTTAGGATTATTTTCGAAGGTCTCCAGCCTGATGCGTAGTAATTACCTCAATTTAAATCTAAAATGTTCGCTGTAAAATGTTCAATGTATGTGATTGATTGAAACTTCGTGGAAATTTTTGATCTTCTTAAAAAAACCCAAAACAAACTAAAAAACGGAATGCCGAAATCTATCTATCTATCTATCTATCTATCTATCTATCTATCTATCTATCTATCTCATTCGGCATATTCATTATCTATCTATCTATCTATCTATCTATCTATCTATCTATCTATCTATCTATCTATCTATCTATCACTTTTGGGATGTTCATTATCTATCTATCTATCTATCTATCTATCTATCTATCTATCTATCTATCAATCTATCTATCTGTTATGGTCCAAGTTCCTTGTACCACTGTGATGATCCAAGGTTACAAACAATGAAAGAATAACACAAACACAGGTATGGAATACAAAGATATATTACAACAGAAATATAACACAAAGAAGTAGAAGTATTAGTAATGACTATCAGATTTGGTTAGAGTGAACTATGTTGTCTCGACAAGTATCACTATTCCAATGTCCTTACAATATGCTCTCAATTATCTCTCCTCGTCTTACAATCTCCGCCCATACCTCTTGAGAGGCGCAGTATTTATAATGTCAGGAATAGTCCATTATTATTATTATGGGTAAGTTCCTATCTATCTATCTATCTATCTATCTATCTATCTATCTATCTATCTATCTATCTCATTCGGCATATTCATTATCTCATTCATATTCATTATCTATCTATCTATCTATCTTGACAAGAATAATTTTCATATGCTGTTATTTTGATTGGTCCGCTACTATTTGCGATGGCTATTGACTGGGTAGCTCGTCTCATCGCCTCTCCTTTCAATATATGGTATCTTGACGATGCAACGTTGGGAGGATCCATCGAGGTCGTATCTGCTGACCTCCGACGAGTTATTCCTGCTTATCTCTGCTTGGACTTGAGATTAACTCGTCCAAGTCAGAGATAATAAACTTAAATTATAGTGCAGATGATTTCAAGAGTGTTATCCAGGATATCAGACTCATCCTTGAGGATATAAAAATAACACCTAAGGAGGAATTACATATTCTTGGTTCTCCAGTCTTTTCAATGGTCATTTGAGAGTGTTTGAAAACTAAGCATGTCAGTCTAACAAGTATGACTGAGAAATTGCAATTAACTGATGCACATCCAGCCCTCTTCCTCTTGAAGAACAGTTTTTTGCTACCGAGTTTCCTCTACACTCTCCGAAGTGCTCGTTGCTACCTCGAACAGGATTTCTTAAATGAGATAGATATCACAATTAAGAGATGCGCGGATCTAATTTGCAACGTCAATTTCGACGACACAGGCTGGAGGCAGGCAAAGCTCCCTTTGAGCTTCGATCAGCGGTAGATTTGGCTCTTCTAGTATATCTTTCTTCACTTTCGTCCAGTCGCGAAATAATTAATGAGATACTCGGTGGATCGTCTTGATGTTTCTCGGGTAGTTCTTTCGAACAAGCTTGCAGCATCGGGGCCCAATAATTACTTTTATCCCACTAGACACATCAAAACAAAAAAGCTGGGATAAAATAAAATGCAAGGCCAATTTTTAATAATTTGAGACTCTCTCTGGATCAGCATCACCTCGCCTGTTTACTATCTGCTTCACAACCGAGTAGTGGCGCCTGGCTCAACACAGTGCCCTCTTCATCTACCGGTACCCTTCTAGATGATGAGTGCACTCGGGTCGGAATCGCGATTCATCTTGGACTCAAATTATGTAAGCGTCACAGATGCAGATGTGAAGCCTCCATCAATGAGTTTAGTTTGCATCCTCTTTCCTGTCGTCGTAGTGCCGGCCGCTATCCACGGCATGCAGCCATTAACGACATAATCAAAAGAGGTTTGGATGCAGATGGGTCCCTTTCCTAAATCGAACCTGTAGGCCTCGACCGTGGTGATGGAAAGCGGCCGGATGGCATTTCGATTTTCCCTTTTAAAATGGGGAAGTCGTTGATTTGGGATGCGACCTGTGCGGATACATTTTCGGCCGGATATTTGATCAGTTCCGCGGTTGAGCCAGGATCCGTCGCCCGGGACGCAGAGATAAAAAAAAAATAGTTAAATATTCTTCTCTTGCTGATAGATTTTTTTTTTACTCCTGTGGCAGTGGAGACTTCAAGGGTTATTGGCCCTCGTTCGATGGCGTTCCTTCGGAGGATTGGCGCGATTGCGTATAGATTAAGGGACGAGCCTCGCGAAACGGAGTAACACTTGAAGCGAGTCTCACTAGCGATGGATCGAGGTAATGCTTTCTCCATCATTGTGGTTGGCAGAGGATAGCAAAAAAAAAAAAAAAAAAAATTAAAAACAAAAAAAGAACAAAAAAATTCTTTATAGTTACTTTGTTCAAACATTTTTTTCAGTACATAAATTTCTCTAGATTTAAAATTCAAATGCTAAGCACTGATTTATTGATCTTGTTAGAAATTAAAAAGACTCGAATATTATATTTGCCACATTCTGTTGTTTTAAAAAGCGAGGATTACAATTGTAATAAAACTTAGACATATGATGGAAGGGAATCTATACATTTGTGAGGGGGGGTTCTAAGAAATAAGGGCAAAATATGAATCACTGTTTATTTCTTAGATTATTTATTGCCAAGAATAATTTTATATTTGCAACATTCTAAGAATTAATGCATTTGTATTAAAACTAATCTGATGCATTATTTATTATTGACCAATTTATAAAGAAATAAATATGAAAATAATTTCTTACTAATAAATTTATAAACATTTACTAAATTATTAAAATTTATGAACAAAAAATTGCTCAGGATTCAGTATTGAACTTTGGGTATCTAGGGACAGCAATGCAAGACTGAGCAGTGTGGAAAGAGATTGTTCATGGAGTCCTGACCAACCACAGGGCGGTCGAAGGATAAGGATATATATATATATATATATATATATATATATATATATATATATATATATATATATATATATATATATATATATATATATATATATGTGTGTGTGTGTGTGTGTGTGTGTGTGTGTGTGTGTGTGTGTGAAAATATACAGAAAATAGGAAAGAACTCGTTAGGTAAATAATCCAAAGTTAAAAAACAGTGCTCGATACAAAAGTAGAGCCCAAATATAATTATTTATTTAAAAAAAATGATTCCATCGCTACATAAGAGTTCTCATGTTTCAAAACAAGAGCCAAAACTTTAATATAATTATTTGAATTAAACTGAATTAAAGTACCAATCTTTGTTCCATCTTCAAGCGAAATTTTTTGAAATTTACGCGTTTTTATAAGCATATTCATTATTAAAATTATTATGGTAACAGCTAGAGCAATTATTTAAAATAGGGCGTAAGGGTTAATAATTTGTATCAATATCTCAGTTACATTCAAAGAGGTCAAGTCAGGGTAAGGTTAGGTGTCTAAATTTAAAGCGGAAGATGACATCGTCTAGTCTGGTTAAAAACGTTTGCGATACCTCTCTTTTTAATATATATATATATATATATATATATATATATATATATATATATATATATATATATATATACAAGTATATAATTGGTATATACGGAATGAATTCCAATAACCAACAATTAATAAGAATAGAATTTTTCCCCCTAAGTGTAGGATCGTTAATTAATCTGAAACTTTTAAAACCATTTCTTTTCTTTTCAACATGTGTGTTGAAACAAAATGGCTATTTTGTAGTGATTTTATAACATACTTATGTTATAATGTTTTTATAAAAATAATTATATATATATATATATATATATATATATATATATATATATATATATATATAGTATGTTCGGCATCCATATCAAAATACATATACCAGAATTAAAGGGGTACTTCGACGCGGTGAAAGGTTAGCTAGCTAGTCTCGCTACATCATTGAGCAATACACACACACACACACACACGCATATATATATATATATGAATTAAAAGAAAGAAAAGTAAGATATATAATCCGGTGTTCTCATAGATATTTTTATTTTTACAAAATAGTGCTCAATGTGAATTTACAGAGCATTAATATTATAAATTAATTGATTTAAAATATGTTTTTTTTTCGCTACACAGTTCTAACCATGTTTCAAAAATGGAAGCTGAAAGCTCCGAATTTAATTTTTTAATTAAATTAAAGACATTAGTTCCTTTTCATCCTCAAGCGAAAAATTCGCTTGAGGATGGAATGAAACTAATGAACACCAGATTGTAAATCTTACTGTTCTTTCTTATTATCTTAATATATATATATATATATATATATATATATATATATATATATATATATATATATACATATCTGTCTTTCCTTTGCATCTTAGCATAGTTTTGCATATTAAGTTATTTTGGTGTTATATTTATTTGCCCCCAAATTCGTCTGTTGGCGCTGGGTATTTTTTGTTTTCATTGAATCAATAGCTTCATCTGCTGCAAGGAAAGTTGGTTCTCTTTGTCGTGCCAGAAAATTTTGTCACCTGAGTCCATCCTTCACATTTACAAATCCTCGACAAAATCCAGAGACGGATATGCAATGTGATAAGTCCTGATCTGGAATCTCGTCTAAAGTCACTCTCTCACAGACGTCCTGTGGCTTCTCTCTTTGTTTTCTACAAGTATTGCCATGGCAACTGCTCCGACGGGCTATTTTCACTGGTGCCCCATTTGCCTGAATTTAAGCGTGCTACTAGGTTGGCATCTCTGTTCCACCCTTTCACTGTCGAAACGGTTAAATGTACCCGTCTCTTTTACTCCAACAGCTTATCTCGCACTTCCCGTCAGTGGAACTCCCTTCCTCTTACTTACTTCTCTAATAGCTATAATTTTCAAATCTTCAAATGTGATGTCAATTGACATCTTCTAATGTCCTGTTCCTGATCCCAGTCCGTCTTTCTATTTCTTCAAACATCCCTCTTTACTTTTGCTCTCACTCTTTGTAACCCCTTGCGTCTTAGTGGCATTCCCGCCTTGCTTGGGATGAAATGCTTAAAAGAAAAAAAAAGAAAGATTATCTTCAATATAGTCTCAAGTTTTCTTTCGCGTGCCTGTTGTATTTTTGAATGCTGTATTCTGTTTTAATGCGTTTTATTTCATATTTCTAGGATTAAAAGCAAAAGAAGCCGAAGTTTGTCTGAGGGATTAGTGTTGAAGAATTTTTCGGAAACAAATTATTAGAGAAGACAAATACAGTCGTAGAAAGCTTATGACTTCGAAAGGGTAGGTGGATGAGACCAGTACTGTTAATCGTAACCTATTTCCGTTATCCGTCTTGTTCATTTATTGGCTTGTTCGCGTAAATGCTTCTAAAGATAAGCATATGCGATATTATAGAAATTCCTCCTTGAACGAGGGCAGATGTGACATTATGTGCTTAAATCCGAATAAGAACACGTTAACTTTATCATCGGAGTTCAGAGTAAAGCTATTTCTTAAGCAGTTGGACATACAGTGAAGTAAGTAATAGGCTTACGAAATGGTGGAAAAGCCCGAAGAATTTTGGCATAGTCACATTTTCAAATAAGGTCAGGAGAAGCAAATCCCAAGAATAGAGACAACAGCACCAGACGTGACATGCATCTGAGGAGTGGGATGCGAATACATCCTTAGATATAGAATTGAAGATACAACAGACAACCGGCTGACGGCGATGTCATGTTGAAACACTCATGAACATTTATCCAGTGAACTTTAAACCAAATAATTATCTCTCACTGAACTCTTAAATTGTAATCAAAGGGAGGCAACTCTTGATTAATTCAATCTTTCTTAAATGCATGTTTTCTTTCACATCGTCGTTTGATATTGTACATCTTGTTAATATACATATATTTTGTGTACAACAATGTCTTGTGGTTATTCTTCTTGCGTGAGTCCTGTTTTCTTAGCAAAATTAAATTAATGTGGTGAAGTCTCCCACAATATCATGTGAATATCAAATTTTCCAAGCCATCTTTACTTATTATGTGACATAGAAATTTCAACTCTCTCTTAATGAAGTTAAATATAAATGTCTTTTTTGTTTCCATTTTCTCTAAAACTTCCTCGTTGTTCACATATTTTGTCCATGGTATCCTCAGCATCCTTCTGTAGAACCACCTTTCTGTTGCTTCAAACCTTATCTTTGCTAAGATTGTTCGGCATTCAATATCATATATACCCTTGTGCAAATTAATTGAAACAACCGCTTTAGTTACCTTTCTTTCGTCATACGGCCAGTTTTAGACCCACTGGAGTGACAGGGTGTAATCGATTTCTATTTTTTCCTCGGATTAGGTCATTTGCAGTAGTGTGCAGTATTATGAAACTATTTTCAGGGTGTATGATGAAATTTGTTTCGTCTTGGAAGATACTGCGTCATCCGTGATTGCTTCAGATTTTATCACGTTCAGGCACTATTGTCTCGTCTGTCGATTAGTTGTCCTACGGCATTTGTTTGCGATGGACGTTATTCTAAGGAAGCATACGAAAATTGTAACGCTGGACAATCACACTGGCAAGTCTTACAGAGAGATCGCGGCCTGTACGACGAAAAAGAAACTCGTGACGGCCATGTGGTAGAGCGACCCCAAAATCAACGAAGACTACTCCAAATTAGTGGATTCCATGCCAAATCGCATCAAACAGCTTCTAAAAAAGAAAGGGGGATTTATGAAGTACTAACCTGTGTATTGGATCCTTAAGAAACAGGAAAATTTCGTTCAAATCAAAGAAAAAGAGTACTGAATTGTTATGTAATATCAGTCTTCCTACAACCTTGTGAAAATTAATTGAAACAAACGAATTCCGTTATTATTTACTTTTTTTCATATTTTTCTAATGAAAAGAATCACGCCAGGGTAGGACATCAGAATTGTTTATAATGAATATATCTAGGAATGGAAATAAAGCAATTGAAATGAAGATGAAAGAAATCCTAGTCCAAAATGAATAATGCTTGACAATGCTTCATCTAATGAAAATTTCAGATAATATTACTACTACTAATACTACTAGTGATAATAAAGCAATTGAAATGAAGATGAAAGAAATCCTAGTCCAATTGCTTTATTGCCACTAGTAGTATTAGTAGTAGTAATATTATCTGCAATTTTGATGAGATGAAGCATTGTCAAGTATTACTTTTCAATAGGATTTCTTTCATATTTCAAATGTTTTATTTCCAATAAAATTCATCCTCTTTACATTGGAAACACTCATCCATTGGAAAGGAGAAAATTATAGTCAGACATCTCCACAATAATTTTTACTTTGTGGAAGAGGCTCCTGAGAGAGTATTTCCCCGATCATTATGATCTGAACCTCGTCATGTTTCGGGTCAACAGTTATCTATATATCTTCATCTGCATGTCTTCTCTACAACAAACCAACTTCATTGAATCTCTTGGAGTTTGTATTGTTTAAATAATTACATAAATATTTACAAAATATTGGGCAAGTTTATTTGAATAATAAAATCTCCCAAAACCAATGAAATTCACCTGGTCTATTTATCATATAAATATGCATTTATTCTGGAAATTTTGACGATATCACTTTGATAATATCAAATTTATGGTGGTAAAAATTTGACTCGTCTGATAACAGCTGGGATCCTCTAATATACTGACAATTCAGGACGAATTGATTTATTTAAGCTGGTATTATTTTTATCGTTTTAAGATCAGAGACTTGAACTATTTTTCGTTTCTCAAAAAAAATCGTGAAAACAATTAAACGAAATCAGGTAAAATTATCTTTAATTGTTTTGTGATATAAATGGAATAATTCTTCCAGCCAAATCAACTGTCAGACAATTGTTCGCACGCTAATATTTTTTGGTAAAGAACAAAAAATATTTACGCAGGAAAAGGTAGAAACATATATATATATATACATGCATACACACACACACACACACACACACATATATATATATATATATATATATATATATATATATATATATATATATATATTGAGGCATGTTTCTTTAAGTAATATAGACAAGTTTTGTCTATTTATTTTAAGTAAGTTCCTTTCATATTGTCTGATAAGCTTAATAACATTATCATTGAAAGACGAAAGGAAATCACCATATTGATACATGTTTAAATCCAGTCGAAGCTCTCGGATTATATATTATCATGTATCAATATGGTGATTTTTTTCGTCCTTCAATGATAATATATATATATATATATATATATATATATATATATATATATATATATATATGTGCGTGTGTGTGTGTGTGTGTGTACTGTGATCATTTTCTAGTAAAAGCAGCTTAATCTCGCTTAAATGATCTCAAATTTTAACAAAAGAGGTAAAAACTAAGTTGACGGGCGCACCTATTTCAACGAGATTCTACCAGGAAAATGGATCAGGTGTACCAGTGATGTTGACAATGTTCTGTTGAAATGGCTACCACGTTCACCTGACTTGACACCTTGTGATTGTTTTTTCTATGCGGTTTTGTGAAAGAACAGGTCTATATCCCACCTCTTCCTACAAGCCTAGAGGAACTTAAGCAGAGAATCACTGCGACGCGGGAGAATGTTACGCAAGACATGCTACAGCGCGTTTAGCGGAAGCTGGACTATCGACTTAACAAAAAAAAACCCCCAAAAAACACATACACACCCATTTCAGTTTGATCGCTTATATGACGTTACGCACGGTGAGTTGAAATTGATTCGATCAAACGTAAGAACTTTAGAATTAAAACCAGTTGCGTAACTCCACATAGTATAATCCTTGAAAACGAATGGAGCATCTCGGGAAAAATACTATAAAATAAAAGTTAATATGACATTTGGCAAATTTCGTGATAACACAAAACATCTCCTCCGGAAATTTTAAAGGCTTAATAAAACATAAAAATAAAAAAACAAAAAAAACTTGTCCATATATAATAATAATAATAATAGCGGGCCACTCATTTTTAAGGATACCTGTCTTTTAGGGCGGCTAGCCAATCCCTATTGCAGACGCACAGGCACATTTGTGTTTATTTAACACCCACAGATCCCACTTGTGGTTTATACTGCAACTATGATAAGCAGACCTTAGTTACAGTTTCTGGGAGAGAGCGTGTTATCTAGCGTGATCAACAATCTGAACAAGGCCAGCACACTCAAACCCTCGGTCTCGATGGCTTGTGACTTCATGCTAGCACAGTTATCGACGGCCCCCTAAGTGTTCCGTCTACCCAATTTCACTCCGAAGGGTCAACCCGTGGTATGGTTTTCAGGCACTTTCCAAAGGTGCTGCACGCTGGGATCGTCTTCCCCTCCAGACCGATAACATCAGAAAGTCTCCTTCCTGGTCTCCCTGCTCTCATGCTCAGAAAGCAAAGGTTCTAACCACTCGGCCAAACGCCCATATATATATATATATATATATATATATATATATATATATATATATATATATATATATATAAACATATATTGTTAAATATAACAGACAATGAATATCTATTATGTCTGATCATGAGCCGTATTAAACTTCGTATTAATTTTGCGTGAAAATAAAGACAAACATTGTCCAATATTTTGATAAATTTTTTAAAGCTGGTCTTTGACTTAAGCTTTCGGCTTACAAGGACCATCGTCAGAGTGGTTATCCGGACATTTAAACAAAGATATTATTCACTATCAAAGATGATATTCTGTTATGTTGACATAGAAGATTCCTATGCCATGATAATGGTCGCGGAATAGTAGATGTAGGTCGTAGATTCATGATGCGATTCTATGACGTCATATCACGTGAGAGACCGAAATATTTACAAGAGAATCATATGTTTAGATGCAACGTAATGTGTTGTGATTACTTTGGAATATAATTTTGTTGATTGTGGGTTGCTTTGTTTAACTGCGTGTATGTGTGAAGATTGTTGTGTTATCAGCTAATATCTGTCTCATCTTATGTACAGGGCTATGTTTTTCTAACAAATCTTATTTAATAGAACTAAGATCAGAAATGTCACAGGTAAGTCTATCCATTAAAGTGCTCAGTATTAGAGGTAGAACTGATGTAAATATTAATATAACAGTGGACATTGAAATGAACACCCAGAGGCGACACTCTGGTTCATGATAAACGGCTCTCATTTGAGTAAAATGTTGCAATCACCATATATATTGATACCTCATGACGAGTAGACAGAATGATTACAATTAGCCTTTTTTTCAGGTCAGAAGGATATATATATATATATATATATATATATATATATATATATATATATATATATATATATATTGTTAAATATAACAGACAATAAATGTCTATTATATCTGATCATGAGCCGTACTAAAATTCGTATGGTTGCTTTTATTTTGTGTTAAAATAAAGACAAAAATTGTTCAATATTTGGATATTTTTTTAAGCTGGTCCTTGATCTTCAGAGAAGTTATATTCACCATCAAATATAATATTATGTTATGTTGACATGAAAGATTCCTATGCCATGATAATGGTCGCGGAATAGTAGACGCAGGTCGTAAATTCATGATGCGGTTTTATGACGTCATACCACGTGAGAGAACGGAATATTAAAATCAGAATATATATATATATATATATATATATATATATATATATATATTAATGGGTATAAATCTAAATCAAATAACTAGATATTAGTAACCGTATATAAGTGCGTAAGCGGGCATACACAGGTAAGCGAATAAATATTTACTCAAGTCAATATAAGGTGCACTTCGAGCGCTGTTATATGTATATTTATTAAATATATATATATATATATATATATATATATATATATATATATATATATATATGGGAGACTCTCCTGCTGTTTTTTTACGTATGCGAGTCCAGCAGTTCAATTCTTATAACCATACAGCCAGACTACATAGCGTAGCTCAGATGTGGTACAAGGCCGAAAGTAGGGGGCACCCAGTGAGAATCGAACTCACTACTCAGTAGTAATTGTTCTAGCGACACAAGCTTGCTAACCATTACACCGTCTCGAGGTGGCCAGACTACAAACACATAAGTTGGCTTGTGCAGAACCGCCCATACTTTTTAAAGGGCCCAATACAGAGAATGGTGCCACAAGGTTTCCCAAAGGACCCTACTGTTTGAATTTAGAAATCTCCTTCTCCTAGACCGATTTCCATCCAAGGCTATAGGACCCTGGCTGTATTGTTGTTCTTCTTTTTAGTCTTTTTCATTCCTATTTATTTATTTCTGTTATCACTTTTTTTTTAATTTTCGTTTTCTCTTTTTTTTTTGTCTTTTCTTTCTTTCTTTCATATCTTTCATTTTCTTTGATTTTTCCTCCTTTTTTTCTTTTCAATCCGTCTTCTTTTTTTTCGTTTTCTTCTTTTTCTTTCCTCATCTTCTTCCCTCTCTTATTTTTCTTTCTCTTTCTTTTCGTTTTTTTTCATTTTATTCTTTTTTTTTCATTTTCTTTTTTCAACTTTCTTCTTTTTCTGTTTGTTTATTCTTTTTGTGTCTTCTTTTCTTTCCTAACATATTTTCCTTCCTCTTTTCGCCACGATTGTTTATTCTTGTTCTTCCTTTTCTTCTTTTTTCTTCTTTCTTTTTAGTTTTTCTTTCGTTTCTTTTTCTTTTCCTTCTTAGTCTTTATTTTTGTTCCTAATTTTATTCTTTTTTATTTCCTTCTGCGATCACTTTTTTAATATTCATTTTCTCTCTCTTTTTCCTTTTCTTCTTTTCCTTCTTTCTCTCCTGTTTTTCATTTTCTTTAATTTTTCCTGCTATTTTCTTTTCAACCTGTCTTCTTATGTTTTTCTTTTTTTTCTTTCTTTGTTTATCTTATGAAATCCTCCATACTTGCCTGTCACCCCTTACGGGAAGATGCACTCTTCCCAAAATTAACCTTTAACCAATCATCACTTCACTTTTCTAACTCAACTTCCCATTGGTTAAAAGGACACAAAAATGAAGCAAGTTGAGACAAATCCTTTTTCCCCGCGTAGCTGTCTGGAGCCTATTTGGAAACCCAAAACCCTACAAAAAAGAATCACTCGACTTAATTCAAGTCAGTCAGACACTGAGTTTCGAGAGATGCCAACACACTGACTCAATACCAGCCTCCCATCAACTCAACACAACTCGCACTACTATTGCCGCGTGAAGAAACTTAACTTACAATTTACTCAAAAAGAAGACATTATCATTACGAAATAGTAATTGTACATTTAATCAACTTTAGCATATCAGTCAAAGGAACACAACTTGAATCAACACTTACAATTGTCACCCACATACACACTATTATTTGAACTCACACAATTGACCTTGCAGAAATCAAACTGTTTTAATTTCACAAACAAACTTAAAACAATCAACATTCATTCACCAAATCTCTGCATGGACACTCTTTGCAATCTTATGTCACTTGCCACATTTAACAAGCAATCTATCATCACTTTATGTATGTCAAATATATATATATAAATTCATGTTATTGTTGAAATCTATAACTACGTTGTTTTTCCTTGATTTCTTCAAGTTGTATTGTTTTCATATGTTTGTTTAATTTATTTGTTGTGGATAAATGCATAATGTACATGCACATTTTAGGCCTTCACGCAATTTCACCTTCTGACACAGCTTACTTAGCATAAATTCTGCAACAATCTTCTTCCCTCTGTTTTTATTATTTCTCTTTCTTTTCGCCTTTTTCATTTTATTCTTTCTTTTCATTTCTTTTTCTTTTCAACTTTCTTCTTTTTTTGTTTCTTTTTTTTCTTATTTTTTTATTTCTTCTTCTTTTTTTTCTAACCTATTTTCCTTCCTTTTTTTCGCCACAATTCATCTCACAGGACTTTACAGTGAGGCGACCCGAGGAACTACGACTCGGATTCATTTTTAACAGCAGAAGATAGCCAGATAACACCGTGTTTATCGCTGACACAGAAAAGAAACTGCAGGAACTCTGAGGGAATGTAGTAAAAAAAAAAGTAAATCCAAATGATTAATCATCAATGGTAAGAAGATAGAATGTACGGTCGTCCACAAGCTAAACAGCCAAAGATGCAAACTGCGAATTGGAAACACCAAAAAGCATCAAGTACCAATATTTAAATATCTAGGAAGTGTTTTAACAGGGGACAGGAAATGTTACACTGAAATCCGGAGACGTATTGGAATAGTGAATAATGCCTTCCAAAAGCTAAGCAAAGTATAAAGAAACAGGAAAATTTCGTCAGAAACAAAGAAAAGTGTACTGAACTGTTATAGGTTATCGGTCCTCTTATATGGCAATGAATGCTGAACAATCTCATCACAAACGACAAAGAGACATGTGGCAAAAGACATGTGGTTCTACAGAAGGAGGAGAGAATACTATATAGACAGAATATGTGAATAATGACGATGACAAATGAAAAAAGACGCTTTTGCATAAAATTATTACTTATTATTCACTGAAATTCGCCAAATAATACAGGGTACCCCTCCCCCAAGAAAAAACAATTGACGTAATTTTGTAGTCGAATAACATTGCCAAATGATTGCAAATTTTAATAAAATATGTAAAAAGTAAATTCACTGTGCGGATTTATCTCAGTGAGAATCTACCAGGAAGATGGATCGCGCGAGAAGCTGGAAAATGTAACTGTTACTGGAACACACCTATTCTATTGTTAATAGACTCTCCCATCTATAATAAGTAGGAGTAGTAGTAATAGTCGCTCAGAGGGCGGTTGGTCAGTCAGTCGATGTCGGACGACCGTTAGTCGGATATTAAAGTATCAGTCACCACAACTAGATGGCTGCGTCATTAACTATTATATCAAGTTCCTAACGTTTTGTACGTCGAACCTATTTTTAGGACCGACTTAGTGAAATACAAACCTCCACTGTGAAACTACTCTATAACAGTAACGTATATAATGCTACAGCGTGTTTGGCAGGAGCTGGACTATCGACTTCACTTGTATCACATCAAAGTTTGTGGGCATATTGGGCATTTATGAAACTTTGTGAAATCGGTTATAAAAAGTCATTTTTTTTTGGATACCCTGTATTAGTAAATGGAGTGCGTCACTTAGAATTTTTTCTACAAACGTGGATCTTCGTGCTGGAATGTGAGAGACTCTTCGTTTATCCATTCTGAGGTGAGGCGTCTATAGAGCTCCCGGTTCTTATAAGTGTGCTCCTTCTATGGCCATCTGGATCAGCCACATGTTCACATGTTGGAATCAGCTAATGGCATTCTGGGAAGGTGTAAATCTGCACCTGATGGCTAGAAGAGTGTTCGGAACAAAAGAAAAAGAAAGAAAAACTAAAAAGAAAGAAGAAAAAGGAAAAAAGGAAGGACAAGTATAAAGACTGGGAACGAAAAAAAAATAAAAGAAAGAAAAACTAAAAAGAAAGAAGTAAAAGGAAGAAAAAAGAACAAGAATAAAGACTGGGAAAGAAAAAAAAAGAAAAGAAAGAAGAAAAATGAAGAAAAGGAAGAACAAGAATAAAGACAGGAAAGGAAAAGAAAATGAAAAGAAAGAAAAACTAAAAAGAAAGAAGAAAAATGAAGAAAAAGAAGAACAAGAATAAAGACTGGGAAGGAAAAGAAAAAGAAAAACTAAAAAGAAAGAAGAAAAAAGAAGAAAAGGAAGAACAAGAATAAAGACTGGGAAGGAAAAGAAAAAGAAAAGAAAAACTAAAAAAGAAAGGATAAAAGGAAGAACAAGAATAACGACTCCGTAGGAAACAAAAAGAAAAGAAAGAAAAACTAAAAAGAAAGAGACAAAATAGAAGAAAAGGAGGAATAAAGACTCCGAAGAAAAAAACAAAAAGAAGAACTAAAAATAAAGAAAAATAAGGAAGAAGTAATTAAGAAAAAAGAAAAAACGAAATATTAGAAATAGAAGAATAAATGGTGGTAGTAGTAGGTAATAGAAGAAGAAGAAGAAGAAGAAGAAGAGGAGGAGGAGGAGAATGAAGAGAAGGAGAAGGAGAAGGCACTGACGAAAGATAAAGTTCTCTCAATATGAGAGATAAGCTTTATTAGATTATGGCAAGCGTAAAACCTCTTGACATTCTTCTAATCAATAACGTACTGGGAATAAAATTTCGAATCAGGTCAGGCAAGAAGGACTTTATTTTCATAATTAATTTATTTTAAAATATACTATAAGATTTTTTACCAGAATATTTTGTTGCTAATTGACAGCCAGCTTAACTAATGTGACGAAAGGCAAATAAACACACTCTTCCATTTCATTGCTGGTCGGGGGTGGGGCTTAAAGCGTTACAAGATTATATGGAAAAAGAAGGTAGGAGCCAACTTAGAAAGGACGACCTGAATCAATCAACGTCATATTAAAAGGAAAACTCAATTTTTGTTATTTATTTATAAGCAACGAAGAAGTTTTAAGGAAAAATATAAAAGAAACAAAAAGTGTCCTCAAGGACACGTAGCCCAGTGGATAAAAACGTTGGTTAGATTCAGTGACTAGACCCAAAGACTTGTGAGTTCAATACCAGTCCACGGTACTGGTGAACCAGAACTTGGAGTAGTTAAATGGGAATAGCTCAGATATCCGGAAGAGGCGTGACACGTGGAACTAGAACAATCTACTTCGGTGGACGAAATAATGGGTTCGGGTTGAAATTCCAATCACCTAAAGAAGGCCGGGGCGTACAACAGCCGTGATGGTGTGAATATGGCAATAAAGATGAGGATAACAGTCTGAATAGTGTAAGTAATACAAGTAACCTTTGTGGGTTATTTAAAGCCAGAAAATATATTTACGCGGTAAGAAATTTTTTGTTTACTGTGATAATAATTTAGTCATACAAGTCTTGTTAATTAACCCATTGATGGGTAGAGAATATGTGGATTCAAACTTTTCACAAGGGTATTTGCACGTAGTGAATATTGTTACTCGGCTCTCCAATTAACAATTCCAAGCCATTATCCATTGCACCATATGAAAGCTTACAGCACCTGTCATTCTCAAACGGTGACCCATCTAGCTACTGACCAGTATCGACGTTGCTTAACTTCACTTCGGTGATTGTACGGAACCAGTGTTTCAACGTGATGTGGTGGTAAGCCTAACCTAACGAGCATGTGAATGGATGACGGAGCCGAGGTAGGTAACTTGACAAATTAAAATGAACTTTCCCAGACACCATAGCTCGGGACTCAGGGTTAGAGATTGGGGAACTGAGAACAGGACCGAACCGTGTGGAAAAGGATTGTCAACGGAGTTCCGACCAACCATAGGTCGAAGTATGATGATGAGGAACTTGACAAACAGATAAACGTTACCAAGATCTACAAGGTATAAAAGGTTGTGGAGAGCCATGAATGCGTACGCTCTGAAGGGAAACGACACATAGGTTTATTTATTTAGTGATATGAAAAAAGAAGAATAAACTAGAAAAGAAAAAAAACACAGCCACAGAAAATGGCAATATGAAAATAAATGAAAAAATTATCAGCTGACTGATTTTCGTTCATATTCCTCCTCCTTTTTTTTTAATTGAACAGGAGTAGAGGTTTATCCCTTATTTCCTGTTTAGGATTGGGTTATCCGGTTCCTTCTAAAGTCTACTTCAACTCTATACTTCTAACGTCTTCACCTAAACTCTGAAATTTTATATACTATTTATTTCTTATTTTTTTTCCTCAATAAGAATAGATTCGCCTATCGTCCGGTTCACACTCCTCCCGGGCGTTTTGAACAGGAGTAGAGGTTTATCCCTTGCTAACTGTTTAGGATTGGGTTCCCGGTTCCTTCTAAATATTCTCTTTCACTTCCAGTAGCGCCTTGCGTCTTAATGGCATTATCACCTTGCTTGGCCTGAATGTTTTTTAAGGGTATGTAAAACTTGTATCAAGGAATTGTTATTTAAAAGTTAAAATACGAGGATTAGGTTAGCTTTCAAAAATTCTGTGTAATCAGTTCACACTCCTCCCAGGTCTTTTGAACAGGAGTAGAGGTTTATCCCTTGTTTCCTCTTTAGGATTGGGTTTCCGGTTCCTTCTAAAGTCTACTTCAACTCTATACTTCTAACGTCTCCACCTAATCTCTGAAATGTTATTTATTTATTTTCTTTCTTCAGTAGGAGTAGATAGGTTGTTTGAATAGGAGTAGAGGTTTATCCCTTGTTTCCTGTTTAGGATTGGGTTTCCGGTTCATTCTAGAGTCTACATCAATTCTATACTTCTAATGTCTCCACCTAAAATCTGAATTTTTTTATTTTATTTATACCTCTTCAAGTCTAGAATTAGCTCCTATCTTTCCAGCATAACACCAAGAACTTCACTTCTTGCCTTTTCTTATACTAATACAAGTTCACACAGTAAACCTCTAACTTGATTGACTCATGGGCCTTATATTGGGTGAACATTAGCAAGAAAAGTATCAATAGTATAATTATGTCTATATTTCTGACATTCTGCTATTGTAATTATTCATACTATTTATATTCATCGGACTATTGAATATTAAAATAAAGATGAGGACAATAGTCCGAACAATATCAATACTGTGCCTTGTGTCCTCAAGGACACATGGCACAGTGGATAAAGGCGTTGGTTAGATCCAGTGACAAGACCCAAAGAGTGTGAGTTCAATACCCGGTTAAAGCAATGGAGAACTTGGAGATGGGGATTAACAGGAGATAACTGATTATTGACATCCATTAGACATGGCACGTGGAACTAGAACAGTCTACCCCAGTGAGCGAAATTCCAACCACCTGGAGAAGGCCGGAGTGTACAACGGCCGAAATGTTGTGATATATATGACAACAAAGATGAGAACAAT